TTATTGCTAAAAAAAAAAAGTGGAGGGGGTAAGGGAAGAAAAGAGGGTCATTGAAGCATTTCATAGAAAATACACAAAGGAAAATTAAAGGAAGTTCAGAAGGAGACAGAGACTACCAGCTGGACAGCTTTGAAAGTAACATGTTCGATTTAATTTAAAAAATTTTTTTTGCAGCAAGGTATACACAGTAGTAATTCATCTTCATATGCAATCATCTTTTTTCTCTTCTACTTTGTATATGAAAATGCTCTTTTTTGTTAAGTGCAGAACAATTTTTGAAAGGTGGTGATATATTTAAATAATATTTGTCTGATTGTCTCTTAGATCCATACTTTAGAAATTTTCCATATTCTAATTGCTAAATTCTAGTTGACTTTACTAACCTAATTATAGATTCCAGAGTTTCACCAAAATGTTTTCCCAGGAAGTTTAAGTTGGCATCAGTTTTTCTAATAAGAGGCAGTAGATTACAGGAGAGGAAGGAAAATGAAGTCAAGCACAAAATGTAGCCACCAGATGCATTTTTAAAAATATTACAATTCAATATAATGCAGCAGATATGTATTAAGTGCCTACTGTGTTCAGAACACTTTGGTGCATGCACATAAGATACAAAATTTAGATAAGAAACAGTCCCTGACCTCAAGGAGCTTCAAATCTAGTAAGGAGATCATACCAACATTTTAAAAAAATATTTTTAATTTGTGAACACAAGCATTTCCATAACATAGTACAGGGCTGGGGAACCTTTGGCCTCAAGGCCACATGTGGCCCTCTAGGTCCTCAAGTACGGCCCTTGGACTGAATCCAACTTCAACAAATGTTCTATGGCCTTAAGGCCACAGATTCCCCACCCCTGAATAGCAGAATTTTAAAAAGGTGATTGTACATGAAACTGCAAATCTAGTATGTACAACTTGTTACTCCTTTTAAATATATAATAAAGTAATCAAGTAACTTTTTTTCCCTCCCCCTCCCATGCTGGAGATGACTACATTAGAGACAAATATGTATGTATGTGTGTGTGTGTGTGTGTAAAATCATTCTCTACATCTATTTATCAGTTCTTTCTCTGGATACAGATAGCATCTTCCTTCATATGTCCTTCGTAGTTAATTTGGGAATTTATAATAGTCAAAATGACTTAGTCACTCAAAGTCATTCTTAAAACAATATTGCCGTTACTGTATAAAACTTTCTCTTGCCTCTGCTCATTTTGTTCTTCATTATAAAATAATGGATTATATATATATTATATTGATATATTATAATTATATATGTATATAATTACAAACTAGCATTTATAGCCATGAAGTACATTATTACATGGTAAATGCTTTAGAGAGTTACAAAACTAAAGTGTAAGAGTGAAGGTTGCTGTCAGTAGTGGGGGAGGGGAAAGATATCTGCTGGGCCTTCCTGGTCCAGTAAGTGCCACTGAGTGGGCTTTAATGGATAGGTAGAAATTTTACAGGAGAAAAGAATCATGGGCATCTCAAGGACAATGAATGGCTTGAGGAAAAAACAGAAATATGAGAGTGCTTTGCACGTGCTAGGGACAGAGAAATGTTTAGTTCTACTCAAGTCTAGAACCCATGGAGGGGAAAGACATGAAGTAATACTAGAGAGGGAAGCTCATGACATGTTGTAGAAGGCTTTGAATGCCAAGCAGAGAAATTTGAACTTGACTTGAGAGCAGTGATGATGATAATGGTGATGAAAATAACCTAGTATTAAGAAAGCACTTTAAAAATATGATCTGATTTGATTCTTCCAACAACCCTAGATAGGGAGCCAGTGAAAATTTTGAGCAGAACAGTAACAGGACCAGATCTCTGTGTAAGAATGATCTGTTATTAGGGTTGGACCACCCAAGAGGACAGTGAGAAATTTGCTAACTTCTTCTGCATCTTAAGAACTTGTCCTTCTTTACTATATAAACTGCTGCTTAACCTTTTTTATACTCACATAAGTGACATAAAATAACCCAAGGACAGAAGCTGATCCCAAAGCAGTACTGACAGACTTCCACATTAAGATAAGACTTTATTTTTGACCTCTTCACTTCTAAATAGCATTTGCCTGTGTGGAGTTTAGTGTGAAATTAGAAGCGATGAATGATGCAGCAGAGGGTCCACTTTATGTTTCCTTGAGTCATTAATGATATTATAGTGACCCAGAATTTCTAAGGCTGCACTAAATGGTTTGTTTCTATTTTTGATGATCTATGCTATGTCTTTCACACTCCCATACATTTTTCTTTTTCCATGAGGAATGTATCTATTTGCAAGTAAGGAGTTTTAAAATGGGTGCCATATAGTTTCCTGGGGGGATGCCATGGATTATTTTTTGTATCTTTTTCATTTCTAAATTCTGTTATTTTCACTCCAGTCATAACCTCATTAGTGATCTCTAGTTTTGCCATTTTGTGACATTTCATGTGTGTGTTGCAGAATTCCTCTGGGGCTATTTAAAGCAAGGGTGGGGAACCTTTGTTCCATGAAGTGCCACTGACCTACAGAAAAAAAATCAATCTGTTGCCATTTACAAAAAATAACTTAATTTTGGTTTTATTTTCCTCAGAGAAAAGTGAAATGTTCAACTCACCTGTCTCTTAAATTAAGAACAGGAAATATAAAACTTTATTTAATAAGTATAATAAATACTGAAAGTATATAGATGAATGAATGAATGAATAAGGCATTTATTAACCCTTACTATGTGCAAAGTACTATGCTAAGTACTGAAGATAAAATAGAAAAGTAAGACAGCCCCTGCTCCCAAGGAGCTCACATTCTATTGGAGAGACAACAAATATAGGTTTTAGAGTCCCATGGTCCTTAAGGTGCAGCAACAAAGCAAATATTAATGTCTCTTCTTTAATATTTTTCCATCGATAAACCAACATCAATTTCTGATACAGAAGCATTAATCAGTGCCAGGTCTTTGGTAGCTGTGGCTGTGGCCCCTGTGGGAGCAGTCACCAAGCTTCCTCTGCACAGACTTGCTTGCCAAGAGGGTGGCTGAGGGCACTGGGCTAGAAGATTACTATTCCCAAGGCACTTGGGTTCACGGTCCTACACTGTCTCTATTAGGGTCTCAGAAGAGATGGCGGTCCAGGTGCTCCTGACCTACCCAGTACATGATGCCTCCTGTCTGTCCCCCACGATGCCTTGTTGCTTCAGCTAAGTGGGCCCTTCTGCCTTATAAGTGGCTATCGGTTGACAGTTGGTGGGGATGGTTGGCCCCTTCTCCATTGGAGTTGCTTTCCCAGTTAATGACTATGAAGGCTAGGCTGGAAGATGATGGTCTGGGAGGCACTGCCATTCTCAGGGCTCCTATGCCTATCTGACTTTTGGATGGATTGATGGTCACATTGGTACCTCCTCCTTGGGAATAGTATTCTAGCTCAGTGCCCTCAGCCACCCTCTTGGCAAACAAGCCCTGCAGAGATGAAGCCTGGTGACTGCTCCTGCAGGGGCCACAGCCACAGTTACTGAAGACCCAGCAAGGAAAATGCTTGCCACCAGAGTCCCTGGTAATGACTAATGTTTCTACACCAGAAATTGATGTCGGTTTATCGATGGAAATAACATTAAAGAAGAGACGTGGATATGACCTGGTATGGATATGACCTTGACTTATTAAAGATTATTCTAAGAGAGCATGAACTCTGGCAGGTCTTACCAAGATAGAAAGGCTTCAAGGATATACCCAATGATATACTATATTTCTGTCATTGAATGATCAGTCAAGGTAATTCTGAAGAAGTTCATGACTAATTTAGTCACAGGTGATAAATTATTAGCCATAGAAACTCATGAAGATAATTTACTAAAAGAAGGGCTGCAATCTCTTTTTGTGGAAAGAGCAATCATATTGAAGAAATTACATATCCTTGAAATGCTAAACAAATATATATTCATCCCAGGATTTATTTTTGTAATTTTGTTTTTAAATTAAATCCTGTTACCTTATTCTCATTTGCCTGTGAGAGTGTAACCTCTCTCTCTCTCTCTGTGTGTCTCTCTTTCCCCTCCCTAATCAGCTCAACCCTGTCCTGCCCTAGCTCTTCTCCTCTGCCCTAGTTTTTTCTGACAGGTCCTCAGGAATACGTGGTTTAGTCAATTAAGGTCAGAGGTTGATGGTACAAACTGAGATAGAGAGATACATGGCAGGAGACAGTGAGGGAGAAAAAGGAAAAAATAAAGGGAGAGATGTGAAAGAGAAAAAGACTTTCTATAGGGGTTTTTTTAAATTTCGTTTCACCATAACAGAATAAAATGTGTTGAATTTGTTTATTTATCCCTAGTGCTTAGCACTGTGCCTGGACACAGTAGGTGCTAAATAATTGCTTGTTGAACTAAATTCAATTAACTCTTATTGCATAAACGAAAAAATTGAGACAAACTGAGACCTAAGAAAGACCTCAACTTATAAAGGCCAAGGTCATCCATTGCATCCCCAGCTATCACCAATCTCTTGACTTTTGTCTTGCCACTGGACTTTGATGACTCTAGAGGGAAAGAGTGAGGCTGATGTCTTTGCATAGCCCTGCCTCACTTAAATCCATTTCAGGCCTGAGTCAATATGTCTAGGAGTGGTGCCACTGGTCCTCTTCTAGAATGAAGGAAAAAGCAACAATAACACAAACCAGACTCAAGTAAGTCAACTAGCAAATAATCAAAACACAATAGATTTTTCTGAGCTAATTTTCTACTCAGTAGTTCTCCACAGCCTTCCTCCTGAGGCTAAGGTGGTATTTTGAAGTAGATGGCTTAGGATGCTTGGGGTTGGGGCAGGGGCATGTATGGTGGAATTAGGGCTTTTTTTTCTTTTGCTGTAGTCCTTAATTTATCATGCACAGACATTGTCATCAGGATCTCCCCATTCAAGATGGAACTACTTTGTAGCCCACTAACTTTTTGCTGAATGTGTATGAACTTCAGAACTGACATTAACCATGCCTAGACAATTGAAGTTTGACTCTTCCTCATTAGGGTTGGACAGATCATCAATATCAAGGCTAAAGTCATCAGAGCATTCAACACCAGCATGGAGGTAAGAAGTTCTATTATCTGATCCAAGGCAATTCCAAAGGACTCATGATAGAAAATGCTATCCACATCCAGAGAAAGAACTGATGGAGTCTGGATGCATATCAAAGCATATTATTTCCACTTTCTTTGGCTTTTTTCCCCAGTTTTTTCCCCTTTTTTTCTATTTCTTCTTTCACGACATGATTAATATAGAAATATGTTTAATGTGATTGCACATGTATAACCTATATCAGATTGCTTGCTGTCTTGGGGAGGGGGCAGGGGAGGAGAGTAGAAGAATTTAGAACTCAAAATCTTATAAAAAAAAGAATGTTGAAAACTGTCTTTCCATGTAATTGGGGAAAATAAAACACTATTTACATTTTTTAAAAGTTCTGTTGTCTCACTCTTCACAGGTCCCTTTCATATTCCTGAAGAAGAGTTAATGGGATCATATCTTTACTAAAATATATCTGATACTAGTGCTTGGAAAACCCAGAAGATAAACCTTCACTGATGGGCAAATTCACAGACACTAAGGGACCAAATTATCTCTATTTTATATTGAAATCATCTGTCTTTCATATGCCAAGAAATAAAAGAAATACATGCACAGAGGGTAGAGGGACTCCCCCTTCTTTCTTGGGCTTCCTACAAAACAGGGGGGTCTCATTCTCTGTCTCCTTTAGTTTAACTTGAGCCTGCTCTCCCTCCCCTTTCTCACTTTCCTTATGCAGACCGGAAGCCCTTAAATCTCTGAAAAGCAAAGTAACTATTCAAAGGGTATTTCCGCGACCTTAAGGGGTTGGGTTTTACTGGACATTGCAGCTAAGGTATTGTATGGAGCATTCAAAGCTTCTAACAACTCTTTAAAATAGCCCTAGTTGAATGATATTTCTTTGTTTTTAACTTATTTCCTTGGTGTAGGGAACTACTTCCGCTAATAAAGATAGATTGACGATGGTTCTGCAATTTATGGTCATAGAGAATTGCTTGAGATTTTGAGAAGTTACATAACTTGCTCAGTGTCATACAGCTAGTATATGTCAGGAGAGTGACTTGACTTCCCATCTTCCTAACTCCACGATCAATTCTCTATCTTCTATTGGGCAATGCCTCTCTATCCTGGGCATGCTGACATAGATTATTTGTGATATTTTGGGCAGCCTTTGAGCCCATAAACCTTGTAGGAACCAGTTGAGGAATAGTTAGATCCAGGTTGTGGTGGATTTGCATTGATCCGGCTGTGCCCTCTTACCCAGTTTCCATTGTTACCATCAATCTGTATTCATGTGTCAATTGACCTTATTAATTAGTTAGCCTTTTGATAGGAAAGTCAGGGAAGTAGGGACCTTCATCTATTTCCCAACACCCCTAGGTTTTTGTTTTTAAACTTCATTGATGAGATTTTTTTGAGACTGAGTGTCCCTATATCACCCAGACTGGAAGTTCATCAGCCACTCACAGGCCTGATCCCACTATTGAGCATGAGAGCATGAGAACTTTAACCAGGCCCATTTCCGACCTGACCTGGTTTGGTTTGCTCTTCTTAGATATCCTGGTGACCCTGTGTTCCTTACAAAATTGGTGCTGGACGTGGTGCAGACTCGTGGATCAGCTTTAGCCATCCTGTCACTCAGCATTCCTGAACTCAAAAAATCCATTAGCTTCAACACCCATCCCCCAGTAACAGAGATTACAGGCTTGTGCCAGCTTGCCCTGCCTGTTTTTGTTTTTAGATAAATTTCTGTTAATGTTATTTTCTTTTCATTCCGAGTGGTTGTTAATAGCTTGGCTTTCATCCTTTGTAAGCTCAAGGTTGTTACCTGAGGCCACTTCCAGATCCTCACTCTACTGCTATCACTCTATAACTTCTCTTCCAACACCTGATTCAGATCCTTGTTGCTGTAATCCAGGGCTTCTTAAAGTTTTTCTACTTGTGACCCCTTTTTGTGTTTTGGCAGCTTCCATTGGCATTGCCTGGCTTGAGGGCATGTGCAGTGCCAAGTGCGCATGTTTTGTGTTCAGAACCAAGGCTGAAGTGAAGTTGTTCGATGCAACACAGGCAAGCAATGCCAGAGACACCTCGGATTCATCATGCATTTGATTTTTAATTAATTTTTGGTCGTTGTGCATTCAGAAACTCTTACTGTTGCCAAATTTTTTGAAACCCCTTATGGGGTTATAGCCCATAGTTCAAGAAGCGCTGCATAATCCACCAGTCAGATCACTCTCCTTTCTTTCTCAAGGAAACAAATATTTATTAAGTACTTACTATATGCAGTCACTCTGCTCAGCACTTTATAAATATAACCTCATTTGATCCTAATAACAACCCTGGAGATAAGTGCTATTAGTATCCCCATTTTTACAGTTGAGGACTCTGACGTAGACACAAGTTAAGTGACTTGCCCAGTGTCACACAGGTAGTAGGTTTCTGATGTCAGATTTGAACTCAGGTCTTTAGTGCCTAGCTTAGTTTTTCTTTATATTTCAGTCCCTACCCTAAAACTTGGGAACTTCAATATATGCTTTATATCTTCTTGAGTGAGATTGCCCCTGTTGGCTTCCCAATTCAACAAACTTATCCACCACCATGACCTACATCTTCTATCTAGCTCAGCTATCGATATGTAGGGATCATCTGTGAGGTGTCACCATCTTGCATGATTTTGTCGCCTTTGTGATCTCGGACTAGGAAATTCCCTCCTCTTATCGTAATCTCCTACCCTTCCATTTCTCCCTTTTCATTATTTTTCCAAGACCTGTTTTTTGTTCTTCATGTGTCATCAAGTCTACCCATCCTTCCCTGTTCTCTTAGTCCATCACTTTTGGACTCACTTTCCCTCATTTACAATCTCAAGCAAATAAGCATCTAGTTCAACTATCTACTGTATTCTTCCTCTAGAAGTCTTATCTTCCTCTAAGGCTCAGCTCAGGTACTAATCCTTCAAGTTTTTATATCTCTATGGGTAGGAACAGTTTCATTTTTTTTCTCTCTGTGTCTCCAGTGCCAAGTACAGTGTCTTGCACATAGGAGGTACTTATTATGGTTTGTGGGGTATTTTAAAAAGAGCCATCAGAAGTTTTGAATGCTCCATAGAATACTGTAGCTGCAATGTCCGGTAGAACTAAACCCCCTAAGGTCACAGAAATACCCTTTGAGTAATTGCTTTGCTTTTCAGAGACTCAAGGGCTTCTGGTCTGCATAAGGAAAGCCGAGCAGGTTCAAGTTAAACTAAAGGAGACAGAGACAGAGAATGAGGCCCTGCTGCTTTGTAAGAAACCCATAGAGGCAGCTAGGTGGCACAGTGGATAGAGCACCGGCCCTGGATTCAGGAAGACCTGAGTTCAAATGCGGCCTCAGACGCATAACACTTACTAGCTGTGTGACCCTGGGCAAGTCACTTAACCCCATTGCCTAACCAAAAACAAAAAAACCCAACCCCCCCCAAAAAAAAGAAACCCATGAAAGAAGAGGGAGTTCCTCTACTCTCTGTGCATATATTTCTTTTACTTGGTGGATGAAAGACAGAGGATTTCAACATTACATAGATTTATGATTGATTGGGGTTCTGGTTAGTTGGATTTTGGTTAATCAAAGGTTTTAGAGCATAATTAGTATAAATGAGTCCGATGACTTGAAAGGAAGACTAGATTGCTGATTGGTTTTGTATATGATGATGATGATGACACAAAAATGAACATCCATCATTTGTAGCTAATGAAAATGTACATTCACTGAACGGTGATCTCAGTTCTCCCACAATTCTGCAGGCATGTAAGGTTGGGCATCCAGAGTTGCAAAGAGGGCGGTTCTTATTAACTAGAATCCAGGCATTTCACGTTTCTGCCCTCACCTTTGTCCAGTTTATGCCTGAGGGGCTAAGTTTCTACATCCTTCAGACCCAGGAAGAATGAATCCTTCATTTTATATATCATAGCTCCCTGGGAAATGTCTTGCCCTTCTGCTTCCAGTGCCTTACAAACTAAAACAAGACAAGCAGCTCACAGGTGATTTAGAGAAATAACTTGGTGCATCTGTTGGAGTGAACTATGCTATAGGACATTTTAGAAAACAAAGCTGAGAAGAATAGCTGGTTTGTTTTTTGAATGCTTCAGTCTAATACTGAATATAGCTGGTGCTTAATAAATGTTAACTGATTGATTGATAGGCACTAAAGTTCTCTTTCTTTTCATTTTAGATTGGCATTAAAGTCATAGTACAAGACACATTTACCCGAATTCAGAAACTCATTAGTGTGGCATTTTCTACATTTGTAGCTAAACCAGTTGGAGAAGAAAAGGTAAATTATCTCACCCAAGAAAAATCTGGTATGTAACTCAAAGATATATTCACAAACTGAATTGGCATTATTATTCTATCAACATTTCTACTAAGATATGTAGCTTTATTATTTGTCAATTTTTCTTGGAAGTTATTCCTACTTAGCCAGTAGGATCTCTTTAGCCAGACAGCAAAATAGCACTTGGCAATTTGTGGCAGAAAAAGAGGCAGAAAAAAAAGCCTTGTATTTTAAGGATCTGAAGGTCATAGAAGGCCTTCAAAAATATTGCTTACTGGTTTGGTCATTTCTCATGGCTCTGTAACTCAAAACTGACTCTTTTTTTTTAAAAGTAAGAGCAATTTAGTAAGCAGTTTCATGTTATGGTCCAATCATTTTTGATACCTTAAGAAAAAAAAAAACAGTCCAAGTTGCTGAGTTGCTGAAGTTTAAAAATAAGCTCCTAGGCATGTGCGGTAAATATTCCCATAAAAGAAGCACATGGGCCTAATGTGCCTTCACAGCAGGAGAGCCGGGCTGCTGGCACCATGCTGCTCAGGAGGGAGTCTCGTCTTTCGGCTGCTGTGGATACAAATTTCTACTTCCCTGGCTTTCCATTTTTATGGTCAGGTGGGATATAGCCATATGGCAAAGCCACTTAAATGTTTCCTTTTAAAAATGTTAATTTTTTTCTATTTCATATTTAAATCTTACCCCGTAAAATTCCCCTTTTTCCTACCTCTCTTTGAAGTTCCCTGGTACTTTTTCTTCTGTCTTATCCTTGGGGCCCTATGATTTACCTTTTCTTCTTTGAACCTTGTCTTCTGTCTGCCTCTCTGTCAATCTCTTTAAATATGGAAATGCGAGAAGGAACAATCTTTATGGTGCTGGCCAGTGACTACAGCAGGGCCTCAATCATATTGCTTTTCCTTTCTGATGCATTACCTGAAACAGGTCAGGCAAATGTCAATCATAGCAGGGCACCATTCAGAATTTTCAGAGCTAGCAAAAGAGCCCGCCTGGCCTTTGAATTCAGAACACCTGGGCCCAAATCCAGCTCTGGTACTTACTACTTTTGTGACTTTGGGTAAACCATGTGATCAGTTCCCTCAACTATAAAATGGGGATAATCATATCTGTAGTACCTACCTCAAGGGGTTGCTATAAATAGCAAATGAAGTTATGCATACATATATGTATATGTATATATATACATACATATATGTACATGTATATATATACATATACATATATGTATATATACATGTACATATATGTATATATACACATATACGTATATGTATATATATACATATATGTGTATATATACATATACATATATGTATATATATACACATATGGGTATACACACACACACACACACACACACACACACACACACATACTTGTATGTGTATGGACCACTCAGCAAACCTTAAAGTGCCATAACAATACCAGCTACTGGGGAGAAAGGGGAAGGGAACAAGGATTTGTTCGGTGCCTACTATATACAAGGCACTATGCCTAAGCATTTTACAAATATTAACTCATATCTGCCAGCCAGTATTAAAGCAAAGCTGAGTCTGTCCATCAATAAGCATTTATTAAGCACCTACTGTGTGCCAAGTGCAGTGCTAAACACTGGATATACAAAGAAAGGCAAAAACACAGTCTCTTCCCTCAATTTGCATAATCTGCCATCAAAAAAAATTTATAGCCTAATGAGGGAGATATGTCAATAACTAGGGACGTATTAGATATATACGGAGTTGATGGAATTGTCCAGATGCCCTAGTGGCATCTGATTTAGCTTGCCAGCTCATTCACGTTCATTGGAATTCACTTGAGGATGGAATTATCAGTTTTTTTGACTGAGTTTTGTTTTATGTTTAAATCCTGAATATATCAGAGAACATCTCTGAATTTAAAGTCCCCTTTGCCTAGGAACTATATGGCAGGAAGTGGGTGGGGCAGGGGTTGAAGCATGGCCCACCCTCTTTCTGAATACAAGAAGTAGTGTCCAGACACCCCACCCCTGTACCCAGCATCCAAAGAGAAGCAGCCTCACCCGCCCTCAACCTCTTCCCTTTGCTTCCCAATGGGAGTGTGTTAAATTGGAATGCTTAAATCCCATCCAGACTGAACCCCAAAAAATTGCTTTTGAAAACGTCCTCTTAGAAGCCTGGTCACTTGGGGTGTCACCATAATTCTTTGGTTTAGCTGGCTCCGTACCTTAAAGCACTTAAATTCCAACTCATTCACAAGACATTGAGATTGTAAGTGAAAGATCAACGGCCTGATTTGAACTTAGAGCCCTTCATTACTCAGAGCAGTTACTGTTTTCTGTAGGTGTGGTTCTGGATAAAATTGGCAATGATTAACTAGGCCCCAGTTCAGTTAGGCAAGCCTTTAAGCTGGGGAGCATGGCACTATAACCGTACACCCATCAAATGGCCAGATGTCACAAAAGTCAGGTAGCACTTAACAATTTTTTTAAATCACTGACAAGCCTTTATTAAGTGCCTACTATGTGTGAGGCAGTACAACACAGTCATTATTTTTGTTCGCATAATAAAAAATAGGAATATTTTGACCATGACGGTTCTACTCTGGATGTACTTATTTTATGCCATCCAAACATGATGTACTCCATTAGGAAGATTTGTCATCCCACTGATGCATTTATACATTAATTTACAGCTCAGCACCTACTTCTAAGACATTCCAATTCCCTGAAATCTTTTTAAAAATCAGAATAGTAATTATATTTTGAAAACTATTTCTGGCAGTAAAAAAAAGGAAAATTCCCAATTTAAATGTCTTTTGCTAATAATAGTTTATTTAGTGTTTTCAAATGATTTACATCTGCATAGATGAAGAAACCAGAGATGAGCTCCAGTACCATATTTTCCATGAGATTCCTCCCCCAGAATTGTTTGTATTTATTTATCCATGTGTATGTTATTTCCCTAAAGCAAAACGTAAGCTGCTTGAAGGAAGGAGACATGTTCGCTTTTATCTCTGTAGGCTCACTTGAATATGGCACTTAAGGCTTCGAAAATACATATATTGTGTCATTTAATCCTAACAATAACCCTAAGGGGGATGTTACTAATATTGTTGCTGGTTATCTACAAAATCCCCATTTTACAGAAAAATAAACTGAGAATGAGGGAAGTCAAATGACTTGCCCAGAGTCACACGGGTAAGTAAGTATAAGTAAGTTCCCTATCTTCCTGACTCCAAATCCAGTACTTTATTCCTGGTGCTTAGCACAATACCTAACATGTAGTTAGGGCTTAATAAAATGCATGTTGAGTTTAATTTGATTTCATCTGAAAAACTTTTCATAACAAAATTTTGTCAGGAGCTTGTTATGTGGGGGCAGCTAGGTGGCACAGTGGATAGAGCTCTGGCCTTGGAGTCAGGAGGACCTGAGTTCAAATGTGACCTCAGACACTTGACACGTACTAGCTGTGTGACCCTGGGCAAGTCACTTAACCCTGATTGCCTCACCCAAAACAAAAACAAAAACAAAAACAAAAACCAAGAGTTTGTTATGTGGAGCCTTACTTGAGAAGTTTTGATAGATTGAACTTCAGAAGACAAAAAAAAGTGACTCATTAAGCACTATATAAATGTGAACTACAAAAGCAGAACTGAAAATAATGCCTTCCCTCATGGAGCATATGTTCTACTGGATAGGGGGGTGGGAAGTATACACAGGAAAATAAATACAAAATACATTTTTGGGGGGAGGAGGGAGCCGGCATGAGCAGCTAGAAGGATCAGAACAGGTCTCTTCTGGAATACAGCAGCCCTTGAGCAGAGCTTCTAAGGGAAGTAGGAATGCTAAGAGGCAGAGTTGAGGAGAGAGAGCATGCAGGACAAGCCTATGCAAGTGAAGAGAGGTAAGAGATGGGAGGTCTTTCCCTTCCCTTTTTCCCATTCCCTCCTTTCATTTAAAAATCGACACAGATTTAATAAGCCATTTGAAAATAGAAAATAAAACTATTTTTAGCCTAAGGCAATTAAATTGGCATCTTTTCTTCCTACCAGAGAAACATATTTTGAAAAGTGCTCCAAATATTGTGTTTGAAATTATGTGCAGCTAAACCATTTAGCAAAGTGATTGAGGCTACCCCTTTTGATTTTGTAGGTTCGTTTAAAGCCGGTGACCCTCCTGACAGAGCAAGATCAAGTGGAGCATGATCTGGCTTGGGAGAGAAGAAAAGTCAGACTCCAGCAGGAGGACACCTTCCAAAGCCTGATGAGGGACAGCAGCAAGTTTGATGGTTAGTGAGGCTTCTCATAGACACCCCGATTGAATGGCTACTAAATGAAGAGGACTGTGTTTCAGGAGCCCATGCATGTTCACTCCATGTTGTAATTCAGCACTCCTAGTGCAGCCTGAACCAGATTGAAACGTAATTGAGAAATGCTTAAAAAAACAAATAAAAATACAAAAAATATAGATAACATTACATTTTAAAACTAGATCAATATGTGGCAAGCAGGGATCCTTATGTACAGCTTAGTAGCCTCTGTTTTTATTTGAGTTTGACACCTCTGGTCTAGAGCAGGGCTTCTTAAACGTTTTCCACTTTTGACCCCTTTTCATTATGGCAGCTGTTTATTGGCGTCACGTTGCCTGAGGGTGTGCATGGCACAAAGTATGCATGCTGTGTGTTCAGAAGCAAGGCTGCAGTGAAGTTGTGAGATCTAACACCAGCAAACACTGCCAGAAACACCTTGGATTCATTACGTGTTTGATTTTTAATTAATTTTTGGTCATTGCGCTTTCAGGACTCTTACTGTTGCCAAATTTTCCCATATGGGATCATGACCCACAGTTTAAGAAGCACTGGTCTAGACTCAGGGGTAGGGAACCTGTGGCCTTCTAGATCCTAGGATGCAGCTTTTTGACTGAGTCCAGGTTTTACAGAACAAATCCTCTCATGAAGGGGATTTGTTCTGTGAAGTTTGGATTCAGTCAAAGGGCCGCAACTGAGGACCTAGAGGACCACAAGTGGCCTCAAGGCCACAGGCTCCCCGCCCGTGCTCTAGAGAATACTCCCTAGCTACAGGCAGAGCTGGATTTTCCATTTAAGTGAAGCTCATTTGCTCATCTGTTTGGGATCTCTGTCAAATCCGGGCCCAGTCCATATGGCTCATAAAGAAGGCACCATCTTAAGCATGCTTTGGGTGCAGTACGCCAATTATCTTTCTTTTTCCAGTTTTACAATTCTAATCTCTTATTGTACCTATGTTAAGCCCCAGCTTCCTCCATAGGACTCTCCAGAATGTACTTTTCATTCCATTTGCAGACCTGGAATGATTGACAATGCCTAGAGTCCAGGAAGGATCACACTTTTTCTGCCCCATCAGCTTCCTCCATCCAGCTCTAGGTGCTGTTATGTCCCAGAAGGAATTTAGACAGTATTTCTGAGGATATTTTGTTTTGTTCAGTTATTTCAGTCATGTATAACTCTTCATGACCCCATTTGGGGTTCTCTTGATGAAGATACTAGAGTGGTTTGCCATTTCCTTCTCCAGCTTCTGGGGATTATGGAGTCCTTGACTAGAAATTGGAGTCATTAAGAATACCAATGGTGCACTCCAGAGTATCACTGCTGAAAGTGGGAGAGAAGGGTTTCAAAAGAGAAGGGCTAAGTTGGGAAGTGAACAGAGACTCTAGATTGGGAGAGAATAGATTTCCAAGTGTTCAGAGAAGGATACGTATTCTATGGTCTAAAATTCCTTAGGGGAAGTTGAATCTCTCAAAAATGACAGAAAATATGAAGACAATTGAGGTGAAGAGAAGGGAGCAGTTGCCTAAAGAGACTGATATAGATTGCTAGGGAACTAACGAACAATTTGGTTTAAAAAATTGTGTAGAATTTGGAAGCAAGGGCTAGAGACTATGGATCAATATGAAAGTAAGTCCTGTAAGAATAGTGTCAGGAGTATTGAAGCCCAAAATGAGCTGAGGCTTGCAATGAAAAACAAATGCCAAGCAAAGCCACAACCAAAAAAGCTTTTCCAGACCAAAGACAGGATATAACCAGTCTTCCAGGTGGTCATGATGAAGATAACAAACACCAGAAGCCCAACTACTCTGCTCTTTATTTTGCTTTTGTTTTCTCAAGGAAGGAGAATGATCTTTGGATTGGGGAACAGAGAGGAAAAATAGGTTACAGGATGTTGAGACAAAAGATACCAATTGGTAAGAGAGTACTTAGTTGCCCTCAGTGAATTCAAGTACGTAAACCAGATTCCAGTGTGCCAAAAGAACTAGTGAATGTAATTACTAATTAATCATCAGTGAGATTTGTGAAATTATAGAGAATGGGAGAGGCTTCCCAGAACAGGTGGGAAAATATCTTGTTTTTCAAAATACAAGTTGTATACAAATGATTATATAGGCTAATGAATTTGACTTCAATCCCTGACAAAATTCTAGCTTATATTATTGAAGAGATTGTTTGAACATTCAGAGGGGGAAATAGTGATCACTAAGAACCAGCCTGACTTCTTCAAGAAAAATCGTGCTAGACTGGATGCATTTCCATTTTTTACAGGGTTATCATCAGGAGACTCATCAGGGGAATGCAGACAAGGAACACCTGGCTTTCAGAAAAGCATTATACAAACCATAAAGTCCTTCACGACATTTTTGTGAATGAAATGGAGAGACATAAACTAAATGATAGTGTGGTTAAACAGGTTCAGAACTGTTTGAATGACCAGACACAAAGACTAGTGAGTGTTTTGTTTTGGTTTATTTTTCCCAAAGAGAAGTCAGTGTTAAGGCAGCTAAGTGGTGCAGTGAAGCATGGGCATGGAGTCAGGAAGACCTGAGTGCAAATCTGGCTTAAGACACATACTAGCTGTATGACCCTGGGCAAGTCACTTAACCCTGTTTCCCTCAGTTTCCTCATCTGTAAAATCATCTACAGAAGGAAATGGCAAACCACTCCAGTATCTCTTCCAAGAAAACCCCAAATGGGGTCATGAAAAGTTGGACATAACTGAAACCACTGAACAACAGTCAGCATTAATTTGGAGGGAAGTATCTAATGAACTGTCCCTGAGGTATTCAATATTTTTATTCATGGCTTAGACTCTATCAAAGGCAAGGTGGAATGTCTAGCAAATGTGCAGATGGCACAAAATTGAGAAGGACAACAGATACAGCATCCAACCAAGCTAGATTATGGGCCAGTTCTAATAAAATTACATTTAATTGGAATAAATATAAAGTCTTATTCTTGGGCTCAAAATATTAGCTTCACAATACAGGATGGAGGAAATGTGTCTAGACAGATGACAGAAAGTGATTTGGGAGTTTTAGCAGACTGGAAGTTCAATATTTGTCAACAGCATAGCATGCTAGCCAAGAAGGCCAATACAATCTTAGGCTGTATTAAGAGAGACATAGAGACCCCAAGGAGGGAGCTCATAGTACTGCTGAATTCCGTTCCAGTCAAACCATATCTAGAGAATTGTGCTCAGTTCTAAAAGTGAAGTCTTAGCAAATACATTGAAAATCTTGGGCAAGTCCCAGGGCAAGTGACCAGAGTAGCAAAAAGACTGGCAACTTCACCTGTACCTTGTGGCTTCTTTGGCTTTCTTCAAGCCCAAGCTAGATTCCCACTTTCCACAGGAAGCCATTCCCAAACTCCCTAAATTCTAGTACCTTGCCTTTGTTGATTATTTCCAATTTAACTTTTACTAAGCTTATTTGTACATAGTTGTTTGCATTTTGTTTCTCCCCATTAGATTGTGAGCTCCTCAAAAGCAGAGATGATCTTACCTTTCTTTGTATCCCTGCTGCTTAACATGGTGCCTGACACATAATAGGAACTTAATAGTGCCTGTTATAGACTGACTGAGTGACACTTGGGAGTAACAGGATTGTCATCTTCAGATAGTTAAGGGGTGGAAGTGGTATTAGGCCTGTTCTGCTTGGTTTTGGAGGATCAAACTAGGAGCAGTTCTTCCCAGAGGCAGATTTCAGCACAATGTACAGAAACATTTTCTAACAATTAGCATTAGTCCAAAAACTGAATAGGCAGTGATGACTTAGACAAAGGAGCCATGCATTAACCCTATCACTACCATGAAGCCAGCTAGCCCCAATACGCTGCAGTTCCTCACACTGTTGAATCTTTTTCTAAAAAACAGTATTTTATTTTTTTCCTAATTCCATGTCAAGACAATTTTTTGCATGCATTTTTACAAAATTTTGAGTTCCAAATTTTTCTCCCTGCTTCCTCTCCTCTCTTCCTAAAATGACAGTCCATTTGATATAGGTTATACATGTGCTATCATGTAAAACATACTTCCATATTAGTCCCAGTTGTAAAAGAAAAAACAGATCAAAAGGAAAAAAAACTGTGAAAAAGTGAAAAAATCGTGCTTCTATCTGCATTCAGAGCTCATCAGTTCTTTATCTGGATGCGGATCACATTTTCCTTTGTGAGTCCTTTGTACTTGTCTTAGATCATTGTGGTGCTGAAAAGAGTGGATCATCACAGAGTTGATCATCACACAATGTTGTTGATTCTGTGTACACTGTTTTCCTGGTTCTGCTCATTTCACTTTGCATCAGTTCGTACAAGTCTTTCCAAATTTTTCTGAAATCAGCCTATTCATCATTTCTTATTGCACAATAGTATTCCATTACATTCATATACCACAGCTTATTTAGCCATTCCCCAAGTGATGAGCATCCGCTCAGTTTCTAATATTTTGCCACCAAGAAAAGGGCTGCTATAAACATTTTTGCACATGTAGATACTTTCCTCTTTTTTATGATCTCTTTGGGATATAGACCTAGTGGTGGTATTGCTGGATCAAAGGGTATGCACAATTCGGTTGCCCTTTGGACATTGTTCCAAGTTGTTCTCCAGAATGGTTGGCCCAATTCACAGCTCCACCAATAGTGCATTAATGTCCCAGTTTTCCCACATTATCTCCAACATTTATCATTTTCCCTTTTTTGTCATATTAGCCAATCTGATAAGTGTGAGGTGGTATCTCCAAGTTATTTTAATTTGTGTTTCTCTAATCAAAAGTGATTTAGAGCACTTCTTCATATGCCTATAGATAGCTTACATTGGTTTTGTTTGTGCAAAAGCTTTTTCATTTAATATCATCAAAATTTCTATTTTACACTTCATAATTCTCTCTATCTCTTGTTTGGTCATGAGTTCTTCCCTTTTCCATTGTTGAATCGTTTAAAAAATGCTAAGAAAGCGTACTCAGACTCACCATGGCAGAAAGATAACTT